AGTTATGGTGCTGTAAGGGGGGATCCCAAGTACTTTGTCCCAATGCCTTATGGCAGGGTAGTCTGCTGGCAAATCACTCCCCTATATCCCACCCCCCATAGTCCTGGAGGGGCTGGAAGTGCTCCAAGGGTCACGAAGAGGTGCCGCACCCCCCAAACTTCTCCACAATGGCCTTGCGGGACTGAGCCCTGGGGCCCAGGCGGGGCCGAGTCAGTTCCCTCCGATCCAGTGCTGGCCGCTTTGGTTTCTCCTTGGGGGGTGCCGCTCCCTCAGGTGTGGGGCTCCGCTCCCTGGGCTGCTGCATTGCCTCACCAGGACTGGAGAGAAAGCGAGGGCATGTCAGAGAGGGGGGCCATGGAGCAAGGGCACCACGCTGGAGAGACCACCCGGTGCTCCCCACTTCAGCTGCATGCCTGACCCTAGCCTGGCATTAGGGGCAGCTGTGCAGCAATGGATACCAGCCCCAAGCCCTGGCTGTGCACCAGCACCAGCCTACAGCCAAGGGGCACTGTGCTGCTAGAAGGACCATGCCTGAACCTTGGCTCGGCACTGCTCCCCAGCCTAGCCAAGGGATGCTGTGTAGCAGTTACCATCGTCTCACCCTGGCTGTCTGCCAGCTCCCAGCTCAGCACTAGCAAGGCTGCATAGAGACACCATCCTGAGCTGCACACCATGTTGCTGTCCCCAAACTGCAACCTGGCACTTGGGACGCTGCCCATACCCCAGTGGCCAACCCAGGCAGTGCAACAGCCCCAACTCCCCAGCCTGGCACTAGGGGCACTGTGTCTTATGGGGACACTAGGTGTAGCCCCAGGCTGTATGCCAGCTCCAATACTGCAGCCTGGCACTAGGGGGCATTGGGCTGCACAGGGCCCACCCCCCTCATCGCAATATGCAAGGCATGTACCAGCCCTAAGGTCCAAGCTGACATGGGATGATGGGTACACTCACCTGGCACTGCCCTCTTGGCCCTTGGAAGCACCTTCTAGAAGGAATTTAGAGAGTTAAAAACAGATCAAGACATCACCCACAATGGGATTAACCGGGAACCGGAGCTGGGCTTGCCGGGGGAGGTGGGAGGGGGTGTGTGTGCTGGAAGTGACCCTGTGTGGGGGGAGAGAGGGGAGTGGGGCTGTGTAGACTGATTGTTCCCTTCCACGCACACTGGATATCTTGTCCCTCCCTCACCCCTGTCCCCTATGCCCATTGCCCTTACCCGACTGTGAGCCCCCTGTGTCCTGGGCGAAGACAGTGCTCCCTGTGGGGCTGGCTGGCCCCTGATCAGGGGAGCTGGGTGCAAACTCAGGCCAGTACTCCTCCTCTTCCCCCGGGTCTGGGGACAGTGGCTCCTCTGAAGTGCTGGCAGTGCGCTCCTGCGGTAGCAGAAGGGTAAAGCCTTTATGGGACCATCCTCACCCCCACAGCTTGGGACTCCTAGGTCTGCTCAGCCATCACCATCACCCCCAGTTGCTTCTCTAGGACAGAGGTCAGCAAACTGTGGTATGTGTACCCCTGTGGGTATGCAAGACACCTCTGGGGGAAACATGAGAGAAATTGTGTCATATACCTGTAGCTGGTGAATCTGGAAGGGGGTATGCAATAAGAAAAAGTTTGGGAACATCTTTTCGAGGAGGGTTCCTGAATTTCCTGGCGGGGAGATTTACTCCAACACCCTGGCACCACAAGTGGGGCAGCCTCTCTGCCCCCTACCCCCTGCTCAGTGTTCCTCACACACCAGTATTCGAGCTGCACATGACTCCCAGTTGGGAGATGCATGGGTGCAGGCAGCACCTGCAGGTCACTCTTGGCCTTGGTGAGGTGGGGGCAGCTGACACAGGAGGAGCACTCACCTCTTTGCCTGGGGCTCCAGCCCCACGCTCTTCAACTACCTCCTTTTCTGGTTTGGTCCCAGCTGCTTCCTCCTGGGGTTCAGCCCCAGACACTCCAACTCCTGCTGTCTCCACTGCTTTGGAGCCCACATCCGCCTCTGCTCTCTCCTCAGCCTCAGGTCCTCCCACCCCACTGCCCTCCTTGGCCTCACTCCCAGCATCCTCTACTACTGCCCCACTGCCCCCCTTGGCCTCACTCCCAGCATCCTCTACTACTGCCCCACTGCCCCCCTTGGCCTCACTCCCAGCATCCTCTACTACTGCCCCACTGCCCTCCTTGGCCTCACTCCCAGCATCCTCTACTACTGCCCCACTGCCCCCCTTGGCCTCACTCCCAGCATCCTCTACTACTGCCCCACTGTCCTCCTTGGCCTCACTCCCAGCATCCTCTACTACTGCCCCACTGCCCCCCTTGGCCTCGCTCCCATGATCCCCTGCTCCCCCCAGCCCTTTGTCCCCCAGTGCTGCCTCTTTGGCTTGCATCCCCGCCGTCCCTTCCGCACTCTCTCCTGCTGTGCCATCAGCTTCTGAGGGCCTGGGCTGCTCTGTTGCTGGTGTGGGGAGGGGCGCAGGTTCCTGTGGCTCCATCTCTGCAAGGAGGCCAGAGGTAGGAGGGTCAGATTTAAGCTGTGCAAAGAATACCGTCCAGCCTGCCCAGAGCCCTGTGCTCATCTGCAAATTGCCCCTCATGGCCTCTACTTACCTTGGCCACACTATTGCTAGGTCTAGGAAGAGAGGGTGGTGGTGATGGGGTGGGGGGATGTAAACAGGAAGCAGGAGCAAGGTGAGGGCTATTAACCCTTTCCCAAGAGGCTAGAATCTGGCCCTTTAAGGCAGGGGGCAGCACTGGACCCTCGTGTTACCTAGTAAACAAACCCCAAATACCCATGACTGGATCAGGCCAGTGACTCAAGCACTAAAACCTGCACCAGGTGGGGGTGGGGAGAGAAGCATGGGTGCTGCGGGAGGGGGGAGTGCATGAGTGCCAGCACCAGCTAAATATACCCCTGCCTCTCGCTGTGGGGCCCCCTTGGCAAAGCTGTGGTCACCAACCTGGTCCCCTATTCAAGCACCCTCACCCCATATTGGGTGTTCAGCCAAGCATAGTCCTGCACTCATGACCCACTCCTGACTCTGCTGCACTCCTGACCCACTCCTGACTCTGTTGGTGCCCCTCACTCCTGACCCACAACCCCCTTCTAGCACAGCCTTGGGGTCCTCCCAGCTCTGTCAGAGCTCCTCACTCCAACCACACGGCCCATCTGCCATCCCAACCCTGAGCCCTTATAGCTTTGTATCCCCCAGGGCCTGGCACAGGTACTGTGGGGGTAAGTCCAGGAATTGCCAGGGGGTCTTCAGCAGGATAGTAGTCTGTGAAGGATTGAGGGGGGGTCCAGCCTGATCCATTGGTGCCTGCTGGGGGCAACCTGGTGCCAGCCCCTCTATGACCCCTCCCACATCTCTGGGTTTCTGCTGGTGCCTGACCCCCTGGGCTGGCAAGCAATGGTGGGCTGAGGCTGCACCTACCTGCTGGCTGCTTCCTAGGGCTTGTGGGCTCACTGTGGGCTGCAACTGTCAGCCTAGCTCATTGTATCACTGCCCTTGGCATGCCCCCCCCACCCCCCTCCCGCCAGGGGATCCTATTTTTATCAGGAGAAACACATGGCACTTTCCTTCAGCTGCCCCCCCCATACCCCTCCCCTCCTCTGCTGCCCTTGCATGAGCATACACAGATCTCCTCCTGCACCAGCATGCTGCCCTCACCAGCCCCCCAGCCTCTTGTACTGAGACCCCAGTGCTCCCCTGCAAGCCCCACAGTCCCCACAGAATGCCCTAGTTCTCTCACACAATGACTTCTCTGCACTGACCTCTCCACTGCCAGCCACACCACCCCGACCCCTCCATGCTCCATATGTCCTTACATACACAGGAGGCTGACAGAACCCCTCCACTGCCCCCAGACTCCTCACAACACCCCACTGTCCTCTCCTCACACACAGAGCACCCTAACACCCCCACACATAACCACTCCACTGCCCCTAACAGCCCTCCACCACCACTCTACGGAGCCCTCCAACTCCCTTGCAGCTCTCTGAAAACCTCCTCAACCACTCTGAACACAAACACTCCCCATCAATTCCTCCCCCCAAACATCTCTACTACCTACAGAGCCTCCCTTTCCACTGCCCTCTGTAGACAGACCCCTCACCTCCCCATGCATGCAGACCCCCTGCTACCCCCACACACAGACCTCCCCCATTCACTGTCCTCTGTTCACACATAGATCCCACCTCCCTTCCCCACGCACAATTCTATATGTGCCTACAGGGTTGTTGGTTGTAGCCGAGTTGGTCTAAGGACATAGGCAGGCAAGGCCTCTTTGGGTAAATATCTTTTATTAGACCAACTAAATAGTTGGAAAAAAGCTCTTTGCAAGCTTGTGGGCACAAGCACCCTTCTTTAGGCATTGGGAGACTCTGCTGCTGCTAAGTGTTATGCAAGGTAGAAAAGAAGCTAAAGTCTAACAAGAAGTCTATGAAAATGCAAATGAGTGGAAGTTTAGAAGACATTCACAGATTCACAGAAGTTTAGGGGCTGGAAGGGACCTCATGAGATTGAGTCCAGCCCCCCTGCTTTGGGCGGCAAAGACTGATGGGGTCAAATAACTCCAGCAAGGTGTTGGGTACAGATGAGGGGTGAGGAGGGAGGGAAATGTGTGAAGAAAAGCAAGTGGTCATCTTGAGGCAGTGGTCATCTTGTGTATCAGATGTCAGGAAGGTTGTGATGTGTCATAAATCCAGTGTCTATAAGTCCACGATTTTTTGTATCCAGTAGATTTATGAAGTGAAGTTCATAGGCTCATCTATGTGCCTACACACACACACCCTCCACTGCCCTCTGCACACAGTCCCTCATACATACACACTCCAATTCTCCACACAGAGAACCCTGACTCCTTCAACACACCCAGTTCCCAAGTCCCCACCACAACCAAAACTGTCCACACAAACACACACAGTGCAAGGGAGGAAGATTACAGGGGGTTCCTCAGGGCTCTGGGTTGAGACCTGGACTGTTTCCCATACTCATAAATAGCCTAAATAGGGAATAAATAGGGGGATGACAACATTTACCAAGATTCAAGATGATTCCAGGTTGCCAACTCCACAGTAGGTAGCAAACAACTGCAGAAAGGTTTTCCTATACTGCAGAGGTGGGCAGCTAAGGGGCATGGATAAATGCAAGGTAGTATGCCCATGGAAGGGAGGACCCTTGGTATTTATCTAGCCCTGGCACAAGTGCTCAAAATATATCATCCTGGTCCTGAGGGCTCAATTAAGCCAAAAACAGACATACAAAACATCCCTGAACCAGAAACATCCCTGTGCAAATTCACAAGGTGTCTGTCTGAGCTCTGCCCAGAGACAGATTCAAGATATCACACAGAGAAAATAGATATAAACCTGGAATGGGGGGGACAGAGTGGGCAGTATTGTGCAGGGTGTAGCAGGGCACTAAGATGTGCCTGCTCCTTTAAGGGCTGAAGCAGCCTGGCCAGGAAGCCCTACAGGCTAAGCAGAGCTCCAGGGCTTCAGGTTGCCCAAGCAGCAGCCTAATGGAGTAGTTGGCTAGCACCTGCAGACCATGACCACCAGAGGGAGGCAGGGCCTTGGGGACATATAAGCTCAGGGTTGGAGCTAGCAGGGTTCATTCTCTCTGGAGACTGCCAAGGGAAGGAGCCCAGCCTTAGAGAATTACCAAGAGATGTTTGGTTGCCTGCTTTACTACCTACAAGGACTAAGGCTCCAGAAGCCTACTAGGTACCCAGGGCTAGGAGGCACACTATCCTAGGGTGGAAGTTTTTCCTTCTTAAAGGGGCAAAACACAGTCTTCTTTGCTATTGTTGGGTTGTAGCCAAGGGGCTTATGCTTGTATTATTGTTTAGGCTTGTGGTTTTGGGATGAGACTATAAGGGGAGGCAGAGGCCTCATTAGTGCCCAGCGGGCAGGGCACCCTATTGTGTAGGGCCTGGCGCCAGAGGTGCATGGAGGTACAGGGACCAGAGGGACAAGCATCAGAGGGGCACAGAGAGGTGACAATAGTAGTATAACACCTACAAGGAGAACAAGAAGTCCTTCTTTATGTACATAGGGAACAGGAGGAAAACAAATGGTAGTGTGGGCCCACTGCTTAACAACTTAGGAGAGCTGGTTACTGGCACCCAGGAGAAAGCTGAACTCCTGAATGACTA